GTGTGTGTGTGTGTGTGTGTGTGTGTGTGTGTGTGTGTGTGTGTGTGTGAGCAGAAAAGAGAGAGATCGAACGATAGAACTTACAGCAAGCCATTTCTATGTGAGTGTCTATCGAACGGAAAGGACGGATTTGAAAAAGTTCAGCCCAAGCTCCACAGAAACACAGGACTGGCGTCAATCAAAGCCCACCATCAACCAACGATCGAGACGAGTTCACTCCGCTCCACACCCCCAAGACTGCTGTGCAATGAGTTCCTCCCTCTCCCTCTCCCTCTTCACTCGACACTACCGAGGTTGGAGTTGTGTTATGTTTTGTCGCTCTTAATTACGCTCTCTATCTGATTCTTATTCTGATTCTGATTCTGATTCTAACTTCCTTTTTTATGAAGCGGCACACGCTTCCCCCCTCCATAATGATGACGGTAAGGGCAACCGAGCCCATGTGGCTGAATGGTAACACCATCAACCTTTGATAAACAGACGTGAGTTCGAATCTTGCTGCCCAATCAGATAATAAAGAAAAATAACTCTGAGTTAACCTGAGGCCGGTCAGCTCAACGATAATATCTTTCTTTCTTTGCTTTTTTTCCCCCATGTCCTAACAAAATAGTTCGATGATAATAATATCTCCGGCCATACTCACACCGGGGCTTTTACGACCGAGCTCTGGACGTGATTACAGCCAGATGCGTCTAGGTCTGGCAGTAATTCCAGTCAGATACATTTACGACAGTGCTCGTGTGAGCATGTCCTCGAGGCCGTCGCCCTTTACACACACACACACGCACACACACACACACACAAACTCCGACGAGACAGTCTGGCGCCTTCTTCGTGGAGTTGTGTGTAGTGAACATGACACACACCTATAAAGATTTGTCAATTGACTCTGGCTTCGAGTAGAGCAGACTTAGACCACCTACAACTAGGGAGATGGAGGTCCCAGGCGCTCGCTATTTCGGATTCTCTCTTCGTTTCTTCTTTTTTTTTTTCGAAGGAAAAAAACAGCTGAAGCACCGGGATTTATCACGAGGTCACCCATCCCAGTACTATTCTGGCACAACGACGCTTGGCTTCCGAGTACGGATGGGTATGGATCGCATTATTTTTCATTCTTGGATACTTCACGTAGGACAGTCGCCTCCGGACTGGGGGCAATTGTTTTCAGTGAACAGTTTGGGGCCTGACATGGGAACATACTAAGCGGGAGTTCGACCACGTCACCTTCGCTGGGGCGAATGGGATTTGAGAGTCTGACGTTTAATGGGTGGAACGGGGGTTTTGATCCTGGTACTTTGGTAACCTGGGCCCCTCTTGGGTTTCGTACCCGGTTCAGTTTATTGGTTCGGTTGGGTGTTCCAGTACGGGCCGGTACGTTCTAGACGGTTCTCGGGTGAGTCGGGTCTACTTGTTTGTCCAGTACGTAGTTGTTATCATCTTTGAGTGTCTTTTTCCTGTAACAAATAGTGAAGCCCATACGTCATTTGCACTCGAAGCGTGACGACGACCGCTGATGAGTCCGGCCCGGCTCCGGACGAAACATATCGGGTCATTGCCAGGATGTTCAGCCATTGACGATGTTACGGGCATGTCGCCTAGTTCTGGGTTGAACTTGATAGGTGCTTTCATTATTATTTTAAACCTATCGGTTGCGTTCGGGAATTTTGACGTGTCGGCTTTGTTCTTCCTATCTCTTCTTCTGATTGATTGCCTACATGTCTGTCGTGATGCATGCTTTGGATTTCAGCCTTTAGGTCGTCACTTACTGGGTTATGCCGTAACTTGTTCGATGTTGCGTTCCTACACCATCATTACGATTGGAGCCGCCCTAGGGATTGTACTACGGGCGCGTGACTCATTGCTTGTTACGTTTTTGACCTTGCTTTGTGATTTTATTATTTAGGATGGCTGGTGTGTCTGTTAATAACGGGTGTTATGAGTGTGGGGCATTGAATCACTGGGTACGTGAATGCCCAGTTCGGAATTCTCGATTTAGACCGTCGGCCACGGGCGCCGATGTTGTGCCTACGGGCGCGCCTCTTCTGACCTTACCAGCTCCTAATGGGCCATCTGCCTCTGTGTCGTCTTCTTCTACGGCTATTCCTAAATCTCATCCTCCATCTTCTAATTATCAAACCTCTCATGGCACAGGGTCCAACCATGGTTATCGACGGAGACCAAATTGGTGGACACGAAATCAGGAGCGGCTGGACAAGGTTTACAACAAGTACATCGAAGATACCGAGAAGGAGGCCAAGAAGAAAGAAAAGGAGGAGAAGGAGAGAATTTGTAGGGAGGATGAAGCTAAGCAGATTAAATGGAAACAGGAACGTGAGCAGCTTGAAGCTGAAATAGGCGCACGCTTGGAAAGAAAGATTGATGCACTATGTGCTAAATGGACGGGGAAAGTGGTTGGCAGTGGTGGGAAAAATAATATCGGAGACGAGTTGGCTAAACTTCGATCAGAGAACGAGGAGCTCAAGAGAAGTTTGAGTGAACAAAATAATCCAGCGGGTGAAGATAAGATTTTGTACCTGCAACGTGAGATTATGGAGCTTCGAAAACAGGTGGCGGGGAAGCACTCTGATGAAGACGCCATCCTTACCTTGCAAGCGGAGATCGGGGAACTCAAACAGTCGGCATAGGTTAAAACCAACTTCGAGATGAAAATTGCTGGTCTTCGGAAGGAGATTGGTGTGCTACGTGAGCAAAATGATCGTGTTACTATGGAGTCTAATATGTGGAAGGAGGAGGCAGCACGGTCAGGTAACAAGCGTGGTAGCGTTGTTATTGGGACCCCTGATGGAACAATCGAGGCACTCCTAAACCTCGATGTACGGGCAGTGTTCGGGGCGATGATACAGGTGATCGATGGAAAGAAGAGTACCGTAATCTGAGGAGCTTGCATCGGCTTGTCAACATCGAGGCTAAGGCGCTAAAAGAGAAACATGCTGGAGCGGAACAGAAACGGATGGAGGTAGAGAAACAAGTTAAAGCGCTCGAGGAACAGATGAGCAAGCTCACTACGGAAGGCGACAACGTGAAGACCGTGAGACGGACCAACCTCAAAGAACGTATGGAGGAAGTGTCTGTCAGATCAGTTCGGAAAGGTGCGAAAGCAACTCCGAGGCGCGCTTCTGGAAAATCGGTGGTTACGAAGATTAACGATCGATGTGCTTACGTGGAGGAACAAAAAAAGCAGCTTAGATTGTTACGAAGGGCAGGACTGGAGCCCTTTTGCAAAGAGGAGGGGGTAAAGCTCGACAGATTCGAGGACACCATCTGTGAGCTGGCAGAAGCACGTGCAAAAATAATTTTTGGAGATGGCGTGAACAAAAGTCAGACATCTAAGGACAAGATTCATGTTCATGAGGTAAGTGAGGATACAAGCAAGGGGGGACACATTCCTGAAGATGATGATGATCGCTTCGTGGAATTATAGGGAGACTTCCCGAGCGCGGCTAAACTTTGGTTTTTAGCTTTGGAGTGCAGGAACAAACGATGTGTAACTGATTCTCGCCTTTCATTATTAAGTTCTTTGTCTACTTCTTCTCTTTCTTCTCCGTCTTTTTCTTCTTTTTCTTCTTCTTCTTCTACTGCTGCCTCTCACTATCTTCGAGATCATTGTCTGTTCAACTCGTTCTATCGATTTATTGTCATTGGCCTCATACTTCGGGATTAGATTCCTTGGGCGGTCAAAATCAAGGATTACATTATGAATATTGTCATTGATAATGTCGATTTGGAGCTGTGTGAAGGACCGCTTCTTTATGTTCTGTGTTCCCCATGGTCTCGACACATGTATGTAGGGTCTACAACCAGGTCTTTGCCTACCAGGTGGAACGAGCACGTTTACCGCTCTTCGTGTATGAAGGTTGTGGAAGGTGGTAAGCGTAATCACAGACACTACTCTTGGCTAAGGCGGTGTGATATTGGTCAGTATGTCGGTATTCCGTTGTTTCAATGCCAATTGTCAGAGGTTCGGTGTTTGGAGAAATTTATGATTGGGTTTCTTAGTCCACATTTGAATAGTCGGGATAAGAAACAAAATGGTAAGCGAAGGAGATCGAGCAAGAGAGAGAGACGACGTCGGAATCGTGGTCTAGGAGTACGCAATCCATCTCCACCTTTTTCTTGCTATCTTGTTTTCCACTCGACTGTTGGTATTTTTTCTCCTCGTCTTTCTTCGGTGTTGGAGTACTGTGTTGATCATCATATCACGATGGTTGGAATCGCTTGCACTGGGGGAGAGAGGTTTGCGAAGAATTGGAAGCTAATTAAGAGAAAATTTAGTTCCTCGGTTATTCGTAATTCGGATTCTGTCGAGATCTTGAAGAAAGGTAAGGGGCTGTTTAGACCGGGTAAGTTTGTGCTATTCTCTGTTATCGTTCCGTTTTCTGCAAGGTCGGTTGTTTTGAAACCTATTTTGGGTAAGCTCCTGTCTAATCCTTCTTCTAGGCGGGGGTTAGCGAATTGGAAATTTTTGTTGTTGGTGCGGGCATTTTCTGCGATCTGATGTTTCTCGAAGCAACGTAGCAGACATCTTTTGCGAATGATTCTTTCTGGGACTATTAAGAGAAGATTTTATCACAATGTACGGATTCGGCTTACTGTTATAGTTACATATGATGAGATATTAAGTAAGCCTGCTATCCGTTCAGCGTGCTCTTTAGCAATCATGAGATCGGATGTGGACAATGAGTTGAAGAGGATGGTGATTCGACGAATGAGAATAGTTTGGTTAAAAAACAGAAGTGTGGGCGGGTGGTTGTTTAACTTTCGGGATGCCGCCCGGGAGGAAGATTCTTGTTGTACTTGCAATGAGTTACCTGTGGGTTTCCCTAGACATAATGAACATGTGAGATTTCAACTGAACAAGTGGGAAGAAATTCCGGACTGCTTGAGGAACAATCGCAAGATTGTCCGTCCTGCTAAAACTGATGTGTTTGGCAGGCTCCGTCAACAGATTTCCAGTTCTCTACTTAACCTGGATTTTCATGTACCTCCTATCGATCGTCGGGATCTCTCCGATTGTGTTACTGGGGTCATTGGCCCGTCATCTGTGTGTACGGAGGAAAGTATTCTAGCTTGGGTGGATAAGCTTCATGGACTAGTACGGGTTCCGATTGACCATAACCCGAGAGACACGTTGGTGTGCTGCCCGCTACTGTACCAAGAAGGTATGAACA